ATTTCAAGCGAGGTGAAAGTGGTTAACAAGCAGAAAGAGAAGAAGAAAAATATAACGGCGGGTGAGAAGGAGAAAAAATAAGGCGGGAAAAAGGAAAAAATAACGCGGAAAAAAGGGATAGGCGTATTTATTTCAAATTTCATCGAGGGCGTTGCGATCGCTTTCGCCCAAATAAACGTAGAAGTGTATTTACTATCTTTCTCTACACCCAGCTAAGGATTAAATAACAGGATGGACTAGTCTTAGTTGGCATTCAGTCCAGAAGGACAATCCTGAATTCGAAATCGGTTGTGGGTAGGGCTAGCAAAAACACCCCTACTTCTTACGCAAACCGCAACAGCAATACTTAACGTGGTGAAGCTGTGGCCCTGTACTGCTCAGAGATGTCAACAGGTTTAATAACAACAAGTATCCAAAAGTATATATGATTGGGCAGGAATACTCTGGAAACTGTGAAAATAAACGGGATTTCGTTATATATGTGTACAAGGTGGGTTAAGGCCCCACACAACCGGAGACAACAACTTTCGGAAAGGGACAAATTACTGGACTTGTTAGTCCACAGTCACTCTTGGTGGATGGAATGCCCCCCACCACCACCACCACCATGTCAGGGGCTTTCGTCCTTCCTTGAGTTCATGATCTTCAACAAATAGTGAAGATAATATATCCGAAAGTGAGAATGAAATCCCCGTGAGCGTTGATAGGTCAGATAATGCCACGGTGGAAGAATCACATGAGGACGATGTGGAGGAACACGAACCAGTTCCAATTCGGAGAAGCACTCGACGAAAGAAACCCGCTGCAAGCTATCATATCTGTGATCAGGAGATCAGGCCGGTTGGGGTAGTGTGGTGAACGCGCGTCACCACAGGCGTAAAAGATGCCTCGGATTGTTTAGCAACGGAACAGTTTGGTATGTCTAGATACGGGCCTCTTTTTGCAAGTGGTCAAAATCCGGGTGTTTGAAAGATGCCACATGCTAATAAAAGCAGGGGAAAAATCAGCAGTTGGCAAGACACAGTGTCTTGTGAAAGTTGGTCCCCTGTGCATTTTTGTTCCTCAAGTTGCTGTAGTTTCCAAGGTAGTGTTATTTTTGTTATTTCTCATCCCTTTCCCCTCTCGGCGTAATACCCACCGCGTAGTTGTTGGGAGAGCAATCGGTTAAGTGTTTATCTACCCCCTCCACACACACCCCTCGTTCAATCTCTTTGCTTACATTTGAACAAAAACTGCTGCATGAAGTGAACCGAATCCGTTTCAAAGACTCTAAATACGCAAGCCTGCAAGATTCAGTGGTCTGATCTAATCGTCGGAAACAAAGAAAGACCTGTCAAACAGACGATATTGCTGCCCCGGCGGATCATAAAATGAAGTTTAAAACTTGAAGACGATTAACAACTTTCCAATCAAATGGAAAAAATTAAATTGACAGCCATCATTAAGGAAACAATTGGAACGAGGAACCTTGGAAAATGGTGGAAAGAATGAACAATAATATTCTGATAGATAGATAGATAGATAGATAGATAGATAGATAGATAATGAATTTACTCATTTAGATAGATAGATAGATAGATAGATAGATAATGAATTTACTCATTTAGATAGATAGATAATATACACATTTAGTTAGATAATGAGTATACACATTTAGTAGATAGATAGATAGATAGATAGATAACTGAGATATATAGAAAACTAGCTTAAAAGCCGCCCTATCCGGCGGCATTTAAGTTAGCTCCTGCGGAAGGCTCTTGATTGTGCTTTTATCACAATAAGTAGTGGGGGGAGTAGATACGATAGGCAACAATAAACTACAAACTACGTACTGCATTAATATTTAAACTTACCGTTTCAAAGTTCAACGGTAATTCTTCTGTTGCCACTTAATCTAAAAACAGTTTGATGCACGTAGGTCCTTACTTTCAATACAAACAATTATTTCTTTTTTATTTCATGAATGACTTTTGCTCAATTTCTCAATTAATTTCAATTATCTCCAAATTTATTTCCAATTTATAAAAATTGTTATCGTCCAAAAAAATTCGTCACAAAAAAATCACGTAGAAAATCGCCGAAAACAGTCGCAGTAATGCAAATTTGAGAATCCAGAATTTCAGGATTGTGGGTCCAGATCCGGCCCAGAATGTTTTTAATTTGCTCACAGAGTCGGCCAGATTCCAAAATGGTATAATATGTTCGGCTAAGGCCTCTAGGAGTAAAGTTGAAAATATGGACAATTTTATTTTGAAACACTGTAATTTGAGAACAGTATTTTTTTTTCATTTGAACATGAACTATTGAAAGTTAGTTGTTTCCCTTTATTGTTTTTATCAGTAGAAGTCAAGATGGCGGAATCCGAAAACAATCGTAGTAATGAAAGCATGAGAATGCAAAATTTCAAGATTGCAGGTCCGGATCCGACCCGGGGTGATATAATTTCCTCACGGTGTCTCCCTGATTCCAAAATGGTTATATGTCTGAATGGTCTGAACTGGTGGAACTAAAAATTGGAATTCATCTGAACATTTTCCATTGAAATAGCTATAGAGTAGAGAGAGGCATAGCTGTAAAGGTCTGAACTGGTGAAACTAAGGAATGGAGCTCATCTGATCATTTTCCATGGAAATAGCTATAGAGTAGAGAGAGGCTTCGATGTAAAGGTCTGAACTGGCGAAACTAAGGAATGGAGCTCATCTGAACATTTTCCATGGAAATAGCTATAGAGTAGAGAGAGGCTTAGCTGTAAAGGTCTGAATTGGTGGAACTAAGGAATGGAGCTCATCTGAACATTTTCCATGGAAATAACGATAGAGTAGAGAGAGGCTTCGCTGTAAAGGTCTGAACTGGTGGAACTAAGGAATGGAGTTCATCTGAACATTTTCCATGGAAATAACGATAGAATAGAGAGAGGCTTAGCTGTAAAGGTCTGAACTTGTGGAACTAAGGAATGGAGTTCATCTGAACATTTTCCATGGAAATAGCGATAGAGTAGAGAGAGGCTTAGCTGTAAATGTCTGAACTGGTGGAACTAAGGAATGGAGCTCATCTGAACATTTGCCATTGAAATAGCGATAGAGTAGAGAAAGTCTTAGCTGTAAAGGTCTGAACTAGTGAAAATAAAGATTGGACCTAATCTGAACATTTTCCGTGGAAATAGCGATAGATAGGCTTGCTATGTTGTGTCTGTGGGAAAGAAGCTGCCGAGTGAGGAGTAAGCCTCCCCTCACAGGACTGCGTAAATATCCAAACTGTAAAGATCTGAAAGGGTGAAGAATAGAAATTAAGTTATCCTCTACAAGGCCGCGTAAACGCTATTGAACTCTGTCATACCTGGGGAGCAAGGGTTTGATAGCTTCAGCCCAGGTATGGCAGTAATACTTCATTTTCGGATTAGTCTGTCTGTTGTAAAAATAAAACATTGCAGTAGGAGAGAGCTACTTCCGGGGTGGGGCGATAGAATTAAACAATTTTCTCGGCATCTTCAGCAATGGATTGTATAAATGAGCTCCAAAACGTTATCTTGGGTGAACCTGAGATCCAATAAACCCTCTCAGTAGAGAAAATCTTTGAGGGTGCCACCGTTGTAAGAGGTGATAATGAAACGACATTTGCTTGGTTTTTTGAGATATTAAAAGACACAGGCCAGTTATTTCCCCTTTGAGCTGATAGAGTTCGACCAGAGGAGAGATCAGCGGCAAGACTCCGATCATCTTGAGTGTTTAGATGGAATAAAGAGGATTCGACATTATGTTTTTTTCTTATTCATTAAACAATAATATTCGCTCTTTACAAGGTCCCAGAGCCACTCGAAGTAGAAGCTTACAGAAAAAGAGGCAGAGGTAAGAAGATATATGGGGGAAGATAACAGTTGTCCCTAGACTTAAACTGGTTAATATTGTAGTGATCAGGGAAGCATTGTCTTGGGAGTCAGTTTCACATAGCAGTGTTTCGTGAGAAGAAGCTGCGCGAGTGAAACTTACATCTCACCAATGTAATAAAAAGGGGACGAGGGTGGTCAGTGCAATGGGCGTGGCATGGCGAGTCTTAGTCGTGAAGATTATAAATGGTAGGGCTAAGGAATTTAATTCGCCTGAAGACTTTCCATGGAAATAGCGATAGAGCAATGTGTGTCTTGCAAAGTTTCGTCTATGGCAAAGGGGTGGTAGGGTGGAAAATAATTCGTCACCCACTAGGACAAGGACGCATAAATGCTTTTGGGCTGTATTGAGACTGGACAGTGAAGATTGTGCAGCTCCAGCCCATATATGGCAACAGTACTCCGTTTTCCGTCTGATCTGACTCTTGTAAAGGCAGAGAATAGCAGGATCATATGGATCGTACGTACGAATTCCATTTGAGGTCTGTTTTGATTTTAAGGCCTAAGAGGCGCTCCAGGTTGTGCAGCTCCAGCCCATGTATGGCAACAGTACTCCGTTTTCCGTCTGATCTGACTATAGTAAAAGGCGGGGAATAGCAGGATCTTTTGGATCGTATGTACGAATTCTATTTGAGTTTAAGGCCCAAGAGGCGCTCCACGTGTAAGACGCCGATCAACGTGTTTTTGGAAGTGCGTCTATAAAATTAATTTTATATGAATAGATATTTATTAATTATCTAAACATGTTCTTACGCGAATCATGAATAAAAAGCAAGAAGAGTAGAAATGATGAGGATGCCTTTATGGACAGCTATATTGAGCTTCAGTGCTATTTCACGAACTTCAGAAGTCTTGCCACTCACAAAGACCTTCATGGACCTACCCGAGAGAAGGGACTTAATGATTGCATAAACTCTGGGGTCCCACTACTGGAGAGGCTGCGTAGCAACCCCCTATGCCACATCTTGTCGGTATCCTTTGAGACGTCTAAGGCAATCGCTCCGGTAACAAAGCTAACATCGAACGCCTCACTGATTCTGTGGGTGTTAACAGTTAAAACATCTGCAGTTGACCTACAGGAGTGAAAAATCACACTGCTTGTCCCTCAGGATGTTAT